TGACCTTGATCCAAACCCTTCTCCTGGTGTAGTGCCTGGTCGATCCTAGCATTTCTTACCACAGTGAACTGAATTACATTGAAGATGGCTGTCTTCTGGATTGTTGCGCCATGTAGTCTGGTAGAAGTTTACCAACATTTCAGAGGTCCTTGCTGCCACCATTATCATTCTGATAATGAAGGCAGCAAGGACCTCTGGAATGTCAGTAAACTTCTACTAGACTACATGGCGCAACATCCCAGAAGATAGCCATCTTCAGATTCACCGCTGTGAAAACCTTAAATCCTACATGAATTACACTGACTAAATAATGTCACATCAGTGCAGACATCGTCGATGTGTATGTTATTTTGAGTACCTCTTTAAAACAGTATTCATTATTGTATGTGTTTAAGCAGGATCAAATCTGCAATCCCTCTTTCAAAAATGGGATAAAGGACAAGAGTGAAGTATAACAAACTATATATATATATATAGTGGCACGGTCTTGAGTAGACGAAGATGTCAGTTCCATATTGACCATGCAGCCATAACTAGACTCACTGTGATGTTCTTGTGTACTGTTACCATACTTCTTTGTTCTTGCTTGAAACAGTCTGTCTGTTTCACCGTCCATGTATATTTAAAGATCATGTGTTAACCCTTTAAATCCCAGTGGTAAGTATATGTACCATCTACTTTAAGAATCAGAAATGCTCCAGTTTGTATTTATGGGTTTTGTGTGGTTCTTAGTATAAATGGATTATTTCCTTAAACAGCATTAACTAGTTGATCTTTGTAATCCAGAAGTGTTACATTTTGTTTTAAGTAACTCACTGAATTTTTGTACTGTTTAGATGAGCTGTGGCTTCAAAGGGTTAATTATTCATTGAACTTGTGAAGTAAGCACCTGTTTTGCCTGTTTGGCATCAATTTAGTGTTATATGTTACAGAAAAGTATGCTTGAAGATAGTTGGCTCATGTGACTAGCACCATAGTTTCATTCATATACTCCTGATGGAGTTTGGTTGCAGGCTGAGGTGTTCAGTGCTTTTGGAGCTTATACTTTATCCTCCGTAGATCTCTGGTAGCCATAACTCACTTTCATTCAGTTACTGAAAATAGCAGAATCTTCTGTATATATGAATGAGGCACTAATATGAAATAGACATTCTGAAGGAAAATTTTGAATCTTATGCAATAAAACTGGTTCAGGTTAATATAAAATATATTACTGGTAAAGCGGTAGAATCCCATTTCTTTGATATCCAATGCCAGTGTGTGCTTGAAGAAACTGTATTCTTTAATACATTTTGACTCTTCATGTTTTATTCAATTTACAAATGTTATGTTTGGAGTTCAAAGAAAACCTTTGTGGGTAATGACCAAATGAAGATATGCTCTATATTTTTTTCAGGAATTTAGAATATTCATTATCATCCTGCATAACTGAATAACATCTTAAAAATGAACCATTTCCCTTTCTAACATAGTAAATCAAGTTTTGTCAATGGGAGATGGTAAGAACATTTACAGTCATTTTGGAAATAACCATGGAGACCTAAAAGTACCTCCCATTAATAAAATTTGGTTATAATGGCTTATTTCCTCTAGCCTCTGCGTCCAGGCCAGCTTTGAGGCCACCTCAGCCTCCATACAAAGGGTACCAGGGTCTTTTCCTGGAGGTAAAGTGTGGCTAGGGTGTGACACTGACCACTCATCTGCACCTAGTGCCAAGGTGGAGAATGGGTAGGAGCTGTACCTCCCCTCCCCTCCAACTGCCTACATGGTGTATATTGGGACAACTTTACTTTTTTATTTATAATGGCTTATACAGCTCTAATTGGTCAGCTGTATTCATCCAGTGATTCAGATTAGCAATTTTTAATGCAGGTACTCCACACATTTTTATCTGAGGATAACACTTCCAGTTCCCAAAATGTATTCAGTTTGGAATACTGACAGTGGATAAGTTCAGAAACCCATAATACTTATTGTAATATAGCATTGTTAGAACGCTTTAGAATTCAGTGTATTTATTATTAAGAAATGTGTGAAATGATAAATTGAAAAACTTTCTTTTAAAATGTGTTTTTCAGAATGACTTTATTTATATTTATATTTGTAATTAAATACCATTTTCATAACTTGAGTTTCATTTAATTCAGTGTAAATTTGTGATCAAAGATGGAAATAAGGTACTATCATAATTTATCATAGGTTGTCCATAATTTTCAAAACAGCATGTAATGTCAAGAATGCCCAGTCATTGTCACCATTGTCCAATTTCGTGGTCAGTGGTTTAAGGATTGCCTAAATGTATCATTGGCTGGGCATTCTCACAAATAACAGTGAATACTTGACCAATTTTAAATACATTAGCTGAATCTTTAAATTGCAACTTTTTAAAATATCTTATTGATCTGAATGGCAGTGCATATATTTTAACTGAGAGCAAAAAGCTTTATTTTTAATATGTCAAAAATACTTAAAAAGCAGATGGTCCAGTTGGTTATCTTCCATAGGTAATGGCATATGTTTCTTGCAACATATAGAATTGACTATATCTAATAACAGAATGGTGTAATGGTTGTAGTTTACAGTATCATGTGAGTTACTGCCATAGTAGTTAATATGGCTCATGGTTTGTTTATCTGTACATCTGTAGGTTGAATGATGTGAAGTTAATTATCTTAATTTCCAGGAACTTAAACATCTGATATATATCTGACAAAGCAAACACTCAGTCACTTCCTTTTCTATATCACAATACATTTATTTGATATATGTCATGTAACTAATTACAGAGGTGGCAAAAGTTTTACTTTTGGTTTTCCAACTGTTCTTATTTTAAATCCAGGAAGTATTAATTATGTTACAACATGCCAGTTTGGCAATAATGATGCCATTTTAACTGCCCCACTCAAAGTTAGGTTATACACAAATGTATCCCCACCCGCTAGTATGGCTCCCCACACTCCATATGTGCCATAATCAATAATAGAATGGTTACATGCTGCCATGATGGCAAGGTCCTGTTCTGGAGAGTTGGCCCTGCTCACTACCACATTGTCACCAACCAGTTCACGTTCACACCATCTGGGTTCATCACTCACTACCACAAATACTACTGCTTTATAGTTATTGCGAAAGTAGTTCATTTGCCTGGGGAAGAAATCAGGCTCCACCAAAGAAGCATTATATTTCCTCTTCAAATATGCCTTGTAATCTGTTCTTCTGACATGAACACCCACATATGTAACATTTTTCTCTCCTTTTGAAGCTTTATACAAGAATCTCTGACTTTCTTCTTCAATATGTTTCTTGAACTGAAATATCTGCCGAACTTCACTCAGTAAAGGCACAATATATTCAGGCAGTTGAACATAATTTTGTAACAAGATGTTCCCATTGAAAAGCTTCAAATTGTCCCCCTTCACTTCTACCAGATGTTTCTCAACAGGACAGTTGACAATGCATGACAGAGCAGGGACTGTAAGGTTCTGGAATACCTTCTCCAATTTCTGTTTGAGACAGCTTGGAACATATGGTGCATGCCCTGTCTTCTTGGCCACAGCCCAAACAGAAATGTACTCCCACATCTGATTACCAAGACGCCCTAACTGTTTGACTGTCACAATAGGTTTCTGTGGACATTGGACATTGCAGTGGGATGTACCTTCTATTGGTTTCTTTTTTGAGGAACACAGAGAATACTCGTAGTGTAGTGTATATTTTGATTTGTGAATAATTGTTTCTGGTTTCCCAGAGACTTCTATCCATATTTTTACCATGAGCAAAGTCACAGTTAATAATGTTAAAAGTATGCACTTCTTGTTTATTGTCACACAAACCAACCTATTATGCATGCTCATATATTACTCAGCTGAATCTCATAAATCCAGTATTTGGTTATGGAGATTCGTCATATGACAGGAGCTTGTGGACTCAGTAGTGACAATGAGATGTCTGCTCACAGAATCAGTGCTGTGAACGAAAAGTTTGAGTTATTGTCAGATCTTGGTGTACATTGATGGCAGTTTTCTGGGTTGTAGTGCCATATAGTTTACTAGACGTTTATCAACGTTTTAGAGGCCCTTGCTGTCCCCTTCATTGTTGGTAAACTTCTAACAGACTACATGACGCTGCAATCCAGAAGATAGCCATCTTAATCTTTCTTGTAATATTGCATTTAAAAATATCTACCAGTCCTGTCTTGAGCAATAGAAACATTGGTTTGAAATTATTTGTGAGGTAACTAATGAAAACTTGTTTTCATAGGAATCAATAATGAGATATTACAAAAATCATAACAAGTGAAACAGAAGGCTTATAACTTCAAGTCTAATTGCTGTGAATAAACCTGTGTTGTCTGCTTTCTTTTGATTAGTTTCAAGTTAAAATTTGTTTACTTTATTTTTAACCATTGTTAAAGACATTTGAGCAGATATGTCCCTGACTGGTGTGTGACCGAGAGAAAAGCAGTTTGCGTGGGGCTTCTCCTTAAGATTTGTACGTGTGCAAGAAATACATAAAAAAAAAGGAAGATAGTAACATGTGAGTTTGAAATGACGGCAAATATTGGGTCTATGGTGACGTCATGCGTACCAAGGACTGAAATTAAGAAAAATACGAAAAGTTAAAGCTGTAGTCTTTATGTGTTTACTATTATATCACAGGTTTCCTACTACAATTTGAAGCCATAGCTTATCTGTGAAAAGTGTTATAACAGAACTTGCTAATTTTATCTTTGCTGTCCATTGTTAGAAGGTAGTGTGAGTTGAGATTTGTGGTTTTTTGGGAAGTGTTGATAAAGGTATGATTTTAATTATCTTCTTTGTATTCATGGGCTTGGTTTTACTGATATGTATGAAAGTCAGCACAACAAAGTTCATTGTTATTGTCTGTTTGTATTTTACGAATGTATGCATAAGTGAAGAGAGAAAGGACGGTTTCAATTCTAACCCATCAGCCCTGTAAGGAATGTAATGCTCATTTTATGATAGGAATGTGAACGAACGGTTGATTTTTCTGTTTGCATAGGTTATCATGCTACTTATCGAGTGCAACTTGTTTCAAAATGTTATCTGTCATTTTCGCCGCAACGTTACTGTGACGAAATTATAGGGGAGCGTCTTTAGCGACACCATTTTTAGTTCAGATTATTTGTGTCGAATGATTAAAAGTAATATATTGAGATGGATATTGGAAGGAAGTGGTCATGGCGTTATTTAAGATGTACTGTCGTGTTATTTACCTGGACGGACTGAGAAATATCATGAAAAGCCTCGGTCATGTTAGCTGAAGCTTCGACCTGGAACATCCAGAATACGAAGCAAGAGTGCTAATTACTTGATTAACAATAGGTCACTTACTGATCAGGTATTCTGAATTTATCAGATACCAAAGAACGAAATGGAAATACAGTCGCATCCTGTTGCAGCACTTTACTTTATCCACGACCAATATTCGCATTAAAATGGGAATTGAATTTATTTTAACTTCAGTGCAGCACCAACTGATGAGTTTACCCCATAAAAACGAGAAATAATTGACAATATTTTCCTGGCTTGCATGGCTTTTCCCACATCCAGCCCTCAGTGATCAGGTTGTCATTGGTCCCCTTGGATAACACATTTATTGTAAAACAAGGGATTGAAGGTGGTGATGCCAGCATACCTCTCTTCAGGCTGGCATTTACTTATTTCCCAAGTCCTGGTTAACCTCTTCATCAGTTCATCAGTCTTTGCTGAGGTGATTGGCTAATTGACACTGCCAGCATATCAGTTGCCATTCCTGTGGTACTTGGCTGGTGATTGATGCATTCCCATGGGGGCTTTTGTCACTTCTTGCAGCCTTACTACTGGTTTTGTTGCCACTTTTATTACCTCTAGCCACAGGGCCTAGTTGAGAAACCTTAAGTGTCCTTTCGAACCTCTCAGCCTCTTACTCCATCAATGAAAACATAGGTTGCTCCAACTGGATAAGTTGTCTCTTCATTTTGCTTGTAGGTCATTAAACATGGCAAAGGTTCTGGTCCTGCTGCTTAACAATTAGTGTAATGCCATTTACCTGTTTGTTTGGCTTATCCGGCATCCTTTATTGATATTTGGTCTGGCTGGCACATATTTTGTCTTGAATGGCACTTATCTGGTCATGGATGTTCATCATTTCTCCTTAGCAGGCGAATATGTCATACTGTTCTCAGTTTTGTCTTGGCTGGTATTTATTATTCTTCTGTGTTTCTAGTTAACTATTTCCTGGAGCTCAGCTTATTTAACTGGTCCATAATCTTTTGTGCTGGATCTGTTTTTGCTGCCTCTGACAGCAGTTGTAATTGTTGATTATAGAGCGGGTTCTTTGTTTAAAAATGCGAGATGGGTTTATTTCACACTATTACATTTGATTATTTTGTGGATTGATGACTGTCACTTCACAAATCACAGTTCTGATTTTCTGGATGTAGGGACCACTGGCAGAAATTACTGGAGCACTGTGAGATGTGGACATTAAGTGTGCACACTTTGCTGACTGGCTACTTTGTGCTGGAAACAACACTGTGTGTGTGTGTGTGTGTGTGTGTGTGTGTGTGTGTGTGTGTGTGTGTGTGTGTGTGTGTGTGTGTGTGTGTGTGTGTGTGTGTGTGTGTGTGTGTGTGTGTGTGTGTGTGTGTGTGTGTGGGGTGGGGGGGGGGGGGTTAAAGTACTATGGTGACAGAAAGTTGTGACTATCAAAAACACACAGGCTCCTATTAGATGCCAGTAAAGAAGCCAGTCTAGAAATATGCAGAGAATCAAAGTATATGTCCATTTCTCATTACCAGACTGCATGACAAAACCGTGAAATTATATGCAAATAACAAATAATTCCTTAAAATGTGGTAGAGTTTAAATATTTTGGAATGACTGTAACAAACGAAAGCAACATTCACAAACAAAGTAAGAGCAGATTAGAATTCAGGGGATGTGTGCCACCTTTTATTTCCAAATGTTTTATCTTGCATGTTTAAAAATGCAAATATTAAAATATAAGTATAGTTTAACCTGTTATTTTTATGTGTGTGAAACTTGGTCTTGTACCTTAATGGAAGAACATAACTTGAGAACATTTGGCCCTAAGTAAGAAGCAGCATGAGGCTGGAGGAAGTGCTATAATGTGGATCTTCATATCTACCCTTCACCAAATCTTATAAGGGTGATAATGTTGAGAAGTATGAGGTGCGTAGAGAATACTTTGAAAGGGATGAGACATAGAATTTCAGTTGGAAAATATGAATCAGTTGGGAGGTATAGGTGTAGATGGGAGGATAGTATTAAAATAGATCTTAAAGAATTAGGGTGTGATGATTTTGACTTCGTTAATCAGGCTCAGTGTAGAAGGCAGTGGTTGGTTCTTGTGAACATGTTAATAGATACTATAAAGGGCTTGGAATTTATTGTCTAGGTGAGTGACAACTAGTTTCTCAAAAAGGACTCTGCTGTACGAAGCACCTATTTCTTTTATTTTTCATTGATTTCTTGTTCATTTGCATTCTTATTTAAAGGCTCTGTGTTCAAATCTGACTGTATACAAACATTTTTGTTTGCAAAAAGAAAATATTGTAGAAGCATTCTTGTTGAAGCACTGCTATTGTAGTTACACAAAATATGATTTAGTATATTAGCCCATGAAAGGGCTGTTTCCAGTGACCTGGCATCTTCAATAAGTTTTCCAGAATCCCAGAGTCCATGTTGAGCTAAATGAGATGGTTGAAACTCGGGGATCTTGAACATCTTATTAAAGATGCCAGGTCTTGAAAACAGCCCATTCAGTAGCTAATGTATTAATTCATATTGTGTATAAGTAACAAGAAAATTCAAGAAGCAGACGCTTCTGGAGTGTGGGTATCCAACCAAGGTATAGTCTTTACCTCCCATATCTCAGAAATGTCATTAACATTATTTTTCTTTTTTTCAAATGAGGCACATGTGTTGGTATCTTTACATGGTACATGTCTCATACACATAATTGTAAATAATGGAAGGTAGAGAAAAGTCATACATGGACAAATACAAGAAGACTATGAATGATTTTAATTATGAAGCCAGCTGTACACTTACATCACTTCTGGTTTTCGTTTTGAAAATTGTAAGTTCTTCATTTTTGTTTTGCAGAATGTCCATCAGTCAGTCACATGGGTCTTTAAGTATGTGTGTAAAGTTATTCCTACCAGGCAGGAATTACGTATATTTCATTGATCAACAAAGACAATATTTACAATTTTTTGGATAATATTTTTGTAGAAAATAAAACAACAACATGGTGGCAGTGCAAAATTTATATTTACCATCCAATTTAAAAGTTATAACTAGTTGAGTTGGAAATATTAAATTTTGTATTATAATCATTCTCCAATGCATCTCCACACAATACTCACTTGCACCATCTGAATCTAGTAACCTTTAGAGTCTTGAGACTTGTGATAAAATGTTCTTTCTTGGAATTAATGTCAGGCCAAGCTTATGTTGATGTAAGTTGTCCAGCACTTACAAATCCTTCTTGATAAATGGCAAGTATGGGTGTTTTGAAGGGTCATAAATTTAGATTAGATAAGGAAGTTACAATGTTTGTGCTGTGTGGTGTTATCTCAGTTCAGATATTACTGTTTGCTAGTTCATATATCCTAGTTGTATTAAATGTACAAATGTGTTCACAGTTGACCCCCTTGCACTTCTCATCCTTTAACACCCTGTTTCCTTTCAGGGACACTCACCAGTCCAACACAGTACTAGCCTACTGAGTACAAGGGATGTGCAGGCCTGACATGTCAAGTACATATGATGATATTGAGGTGGAAACTTATTTTATTACAAGATGTATTGTAAACAATATTGCTTTGGTACTACAGATTGTTTAATTAATGTGAAGTGTTTTCCCATATGTGATTAGCCTTCAAAACAGGAGCCTGGAGAAATTTTCAAATGAGCTGAACTTCATAATTTGTACTCTACCAAAAATTGTGGTCTTTAGATCAAGGAGGTTGAGATAGGTGGTGCATGTCCTGAGCATGAAAGAAATGAGGAAGTCTTACAAAGTTTAAGTTGGCAAAGCTGAGGGGAAGTATCTGTTTGGGAGACCTAGGCATAGGTGGGAGGATATTAAAAAATTGGATCATAATGAAATACGGTATTTCAGTGTGACTAGATTCAGCTCAGAATGGGAATTTTTAAACCAGGTGAGCAAGTATTAGTTTCTCAGGGAGCCTTTTTCATGGAGTTAGGACATCTGTGAACTGTTCAATACTAGTGCCTCCAATGAGTTTGTTGTTGATTGTGTACAGAAGAAGTGAATGTGATTTATTTTGTAAGAAATGTGGAGGTCAAGAAATTTGTCGTGAGATATCATAGTACTTGGGAAATTTTAGTAAAGTGCAAAAGCAATAAACAAGATTCTTCTATTGAGGTTATGTCAGGTAACATTGCTGAAGGATAGAGGTCTTACAACAATATGAAAGATTTTTGGGTAATTTTTTATGGCTCTTAATCCTAATTTTTGTCATATTTTCATCAGATATACTGTACTGTTACTGATCAAAGCAGGTTTACTGTAGGATTTGTCAAGTATGTACATATAGAAATTTCCTGTTGTTATAGAGGCTGCTCTTTACTTGGTAGTGCAGAATGTATAGTCAAATTTATATGATTAAACAACTAGGAGGAGTAATTACAATGTAATTGCATGTGTAGTTAATTTGGTTTTGTTTAAATATGTTAAAGGTGTGTGAACACCAATGTGATGAATGCCGTGATTTCACTCTGCCACTTCTGTGAGCTTCATGGACCTAGTGTCCTTTTTGTGACTCAAGCATTTCATGAGCCATATGATCCATCAACAGAACCAGGTATTCAGCAGCCCAAGACGTGTTATGGCAATGCAACAGGAAGGCGAACAACTTCAAGCAACACGGCAATCTCTTGTGAGGTTAGGTTAAGCTTATATCTTCCAGCTCTACTTTTATCCAAATATATATGCAAGTAATGAAAAACTATTTGATTTTTTGTACTCATATAAAGATGGATTATAACCTTGATAGTTGTCAGTGAAGTTAGCACTACAGCTGTATGGCCAAGGGGTGGAGTGTTGAAATTTTTCTGTTCACTGTTACATTTATAATTATCTCTTATCAAGTGCCAACACTAGAATGTGAAGCTGAATCTCACCTTTTCATAGTGATAAGAGTAATGCACATACCTTGTGAGTTGCTATCAAAAAACAAGAATCAAAACTATCCTTTTGTACCTATGGTTCTTATAGAATTAATTGTGTAGCCTGTTCGTGTTACTTTCTTGATGTAAAAATAAGTAATTTCAGGTGAAAAATTATATTGAGGTCTTAGAGGTGATAGCTTCCTCCAAAACACTTGTAAGTGCATACAAGATTACACAGTGTCATAATTAGAAAAACCACAGACAAACAAACAAAATATATTTCAGCAGCATTAAATTTATATTAAAATGCTAGTTTTCAATGTTCCATGATATATTTGATATTCTAAGATGCTGTCTTCAAGTGTTAACTCTTTCATTTGGTTTTCACTTTTAATTGCTGGTCATGGTGTTACATATGTGAGTGAAATTCAGGATACTGTAATTGGTCCATAGTTGGTTAAAATTTCCACCAGTAAACTGCCATTTATTGAATTAATAGATATAGAAGTTGTGTGTTACCGGTTTAAAGAAATATGCTTCTGGTTAGGACATCAGAAACTCCAAATTGCATCTCAGTGCTTAAACATACCCTTAAGAAAACTTAAAACATGCTTTTCAGAATCTTTGCTACTGTGTTGTTTTTTTGGTGGGATACGTGTAATAAATGTGTATTTCAGGCCTGCCAATCATTGGACCCTAAACAAAGATTCTTGTGCAATGATCATGAAGGACGAATCAGTTACTTGAGCACACAGCAGGCTACTCAGCATGATGTGGCAGCACTTGTTCGCCAGGCTTGCATCCGCAGCCTGAGTTGTGAGGTTAGAATTAAGCAGTGTCATTGTTTTCATTGTGTGATGGTGAAAGGAGTTGAATGTGACTTCTGGTTCTGATTTGTGTTGATATTAATTTCTGAGGCAGAATCAAAAATCCCATGGATCTCTATTAGATGCTAGTAAGTAGACTGGTCTAGAAGTTAAGAAAAAAGTATGTGATTGTATCTTGGCACTATGCTGAATGGTAGCTAATGGATCCTTTGATAATGTGACAGAATTAAATTATTTGGAGACTGATGTAATAAATAAAAATTGCATTTACAAATTAATTAATAGTAGATTACATTCAGGAAATGCTTCTTGCAATGGAATTCAGGGCACATAGCATGTGTAAGGTTGATGAGAAATGTGCACAAACCTTTTGTTGGGAAATCCGAAGGGAGCAGAATACTGAGACAACATAGGTATAAATTGGAAAATAATATTAAAATTGATTTTAAGAAAGTAGATTGAATGGTGTGGACTGGATTCATGTGGTTCATTATAGGTGGTGGGTTCTTGTGAGCACCGTAACAAACCTTAGGAGTTCCATAAAAGACAAGAAAATTTGATGAGTAGCTGGGCTGCTATTAGTATCTTAAGAATTCTGTTCCATAGAGCTAATTCATATGTAGAATTGTTGTGGTAAGAAAATATCACTGATCACTTTTTTTATTTTAAAATACAGGTTAGTCCTGGGAAGGAGGGTCCTGTATTCTTTGGTGATGAAGTACGAGGCCATGTTCTGAGTTACACGTTCTTTCTGAAAGATGCACAAGCTCGGGGATTTCATCGCTGGTTCAGCGTCATTATTCTTATGAGAGACAAATTCTTTCTCCTCAACTCATGGCCATTCCTTGAAGAGAATATCCAGACCCTTGTCTCTGCTCTTCAGGCAAAAGCTACTGAAGTAAGAACTGTTTGCTTGTTTAGTTCAATGATCTGTGTTTGCTGGTGAATTAACTCTAATGCTTGACAAAGTTTTCCCATCCATCCTGACATAATTCTTTGTTTATAAATTTTTGATAATTAATTCAGTAAAGTGATTTTGCTATGGGCCTTATGGCATGACATGCAATGGAAGTTTTGCCAGATCAAATCCCTTTAGTTACAAAGTCTGATATATACAGCTTTTCTGGTACCACTTTGCAGACAGATTTCCACATAAGCAGGTACTAAATGTTAGTGTAGTAGTTGGTACTTCATCATATTCAGGAGGTCCCTGGTTAAAATCTTGGCATGAAGATTAGTTGTACTGCCTGAGGAGGGTTTTTTCCCTAAATTTCTCCAGGAAGATTTGGAGATAATAACAAAATAGACATTGAATGCCTCCTACCATTTTCTCACTGACAGTGTTAGTAATTATTCATGCTACACAATTTTTGCAGTTGGTAATAAATCAGTAAACAAATATTGCATATTAAAACCAGAGAATTACTACATGTTCAAGTTCAAGGGGCTGCTAAGTGCCCATATTATGTATTTGTCACACTGTACAACTGTTTAATGTCATAAGAAACATCAGCAGAAGAGCTCACATTTGTATGGGATTTGAAGTGTTCATGCCAGTGAAAATGTGAATTATGTCTTCTGTAGGTGGTTGCCAACATTTCAGAGGAATGTAAGATTTGAGGTTTTCCCAGCGGTGAGTATGACCTCTGAAACGTTGGTTAATATCGACCAGACTACACAGTGCAACAACCCAGAAGACAGAAATCTTCATTTCAGAGGAACATGTTGCCCACATCTTCAAAACATTGGCAACTGTCTACAAGATGTATGGTATCATAACCCAAAAGTCACAATCTTCATCATACTTACGTTTTATTTTCTTGGACTAGGCTGTCCCAACCATATTTATTTTGCCCTTAGCCTACCAACATCTCTCAGTGTTCATATGTTTAGTCCCTTGCCATGTAAAGTCAGTTATTTTATTTAAACTGTTATTTATGCTCTAAAGGTATACGAACGTGAGCAAACAGAATGCCCACAGCGTGCATTGAGACTTACAGCAGCACACAGCAGTTCTGATGGTAAGCATCAGCAGCAGTATACATCACGATCTCTAGCCGAATTGACAGCTGATAAAGAAGTGTTTCCTTGGTGAGTATGCAGGATAATTCACATGTCATACTTGATTTCTTATGTTTTATTCATACTCTTACCCATGTCTAAGACATGATCACATTATTACTGTTACTGCTACTACTACTGTTGCTGTTATTGTTATCATTATATTTTCACTCATAAAGTCTGATAACAGTGGTAAAAGTCTGTCAATAACAGGCTGTTATTGTTATCATTATATTTTCACCCATAAAGTCTGATAACAGTGGTTAAAGTCTGTCAGTAAAATTCCTCAATTTAAACCTAAGAAATGTTGGATAAATATTTCTAATTTTAAAGGGAAGAATAACACTGTTTTTCAGATTGAAGTGGATTACCAGTATGTCACAGTTCCCGTTGCATAAACTAACTGTATTGTTGGACTTGGTATTGCAGGCTTCATCTTAAGTTTACATGGTTGTTGAAAGCTGGAGCTGATCGCCTTGTGGAGAAAATAGTAGAAGGTTTACCAATGCCAGACCTGGCTTTGGATTTGTATAGTCACCAAGGTACAGCATTTATCACATGAAACATTGTTGAAATTCATTATATATTTTTTCCCTTTGATGGTCATTTTTATCATCCTCCTTTTGCATGGAACTTTGACTTAACACATCATTGAAAATTTTGAATGTAACTTTTTCTCCGCTAAATGTCTGTCTGCAGTTATTTATTAGTCAGTAGATGGCCATTACAGTACAGTATTTATAGAAATCAGTTCAGGCTATTTGTAAATAAATGGTGTGTGTTTAAAAGTATGGGTGCAAAAACTTTAATTTAGGACAAGAATTACCAGGTAGCCAGTTAATCATTATATGAATTCAGTATCCTTTAATGAAAATAAGCAATTCATAAGTGCTGTTGATTAGGAAACCAATTTTTTATGTTTTCAGAGACAGAGGAGGGCTTCACTCTTGTAACAGCAAAGCAGGTTCATTTTCCAGTGGTAGAGCTTGAAGCCAGTGGATCACATGATGCAAATATGGTTGCTCCACTGATTCGTAATGTACGCCACCTTCATCAGATTTTGGGTCCAGTGCCATTCCTTTCACTGGCATACTGTCTTATGGTGGGGAGACAGTTAATACTACGTGGGCAACCATCTGGGCTTATAGCCAGTATAGCTAATAGTCTTAATGTGAGTATTTGTGCGGCTTCATGTACTTTTATTTGTTCATTAATTCGTAAAACCAAAATTCACAATGAAATAACAGGAACTTATAAATTACTAAAAAAATGTGTTAAGTACCTGGGAACAACAGTAACAAATATAATGGTATTTGCATCGAAATTAGAGAATACTAAAATCAGGAAATATTATTCAGCTTACTGACTCTTCACATACAAATGTGTACTTTACAGTAAGTTCCCAGTTATCCAGGCTAGTAAAGGGGATAAGACATGCAAATAATAATAAAAAACACAGATAATTCAAAATATTTTGTTTGGTGCAACATTGAGAGAACTTCACATATTACTTTACTTTTTCTTCTTCTTTTCCTTCTCTGATAATTCAAAATATTTTGTTTGGTGCAGCATTGAGAGAACTTCACATATTACTTTTTTCTTCTTCTTCTTCTTTTTTTTCTCCCTCTACCCACAAGTCATGTTATTTAAAAGGTAGTTTGTAATGACTGTGCTTTTGTGAACTGTTTCAACTGTCCTCACAATGGTATGAATTTTACTCTGACCCTCCCCACCTTCTTCTGCCTTTTGTTTCATGGCTGCATTGACAATGTCTGCCATGTGCTGGAAGTGTAACCGTTCGTCCAGCTGCTTATGGTGGGATTTATAGTTGGGTGAAAGATTTGGATTTTCACTGATCACATTTGCATGTTCTCATTTCTCAGGGACATGTAATGGCCGAATTGGCTGTGGTGGTGGTGGAGGTAGAATATTCATTAACAACAGATTAATTGCAAGTTCACAAATTTGATTAATTTATACACAGTTACCAGAATTGTTGATGCTTACAAATTTGCAGGATAAATTTGGTGCTTGAAATTTCCAACAATTTTCCAAAACTACAAGTATCCCAGATTTGTGTTCACTTTACTGATGTCAAAAACAGAGAATTGTTAAGTGACTGCGTGAGGTGTACTCACGTACCCTCCAAGAATCAAGATTGGAGAGCTTAACAACACTGTCTTAATCCTGATTGGTCAAGGCATCTAAAATTCAGCCCAAAGAAATGTTCCAGGTTTTATGATTGGGTAAAGTCTGGAGTAAAGATTTCAACAAGTCTCTCCCAGGACCTTCTTCTGCAGCAAATGCTACTGAGTGTGTTTTAAATTACCTTGGTAGCATCTCTGCTGTTTGTCCAGTGTGTGACTGAAAATACTGAAACTGGGTCACCATAAATGGTTTAAGTGCACTTAAGGTTTTAGCTAGAATTTGCAATAAAATGACCCTTTTAGTTCTACATCACAGTGAGTGCAATTATGCACCAGTTCCTAGTTCACTCATGTCTGTGTTTATTTAAAAGCTGTGCTTGGATAATCTGCAAACCAGATAATTGGGAGCTTACTGTAATATACATGTTAAAGAGGCTTGCAAATGTGTATGAAGTTTCAGTACATAATTTAACACATTGGTAACCAATGAAAGGAAGTTTTTTAGTTAGGTCAGTGTCTCACTTTGTAACTTGCTAATCTGTACAGAAACTGCTGAAATCAGTAACTTTGGAAGTCCTGAACAAATGACATGAACAAAAATTTCATAATGTTAAGGATTCCCACAGTGGTAGTGGATAAGGGTTGAGAGACTTCTTGAAACTAATTTAAAATGTTCAGGTACTGGTTCCTCGACCATGTTACCGAGCAGCGCTGAATTCAGATCAGTATCTGGATGTGAGTCAGTGTAACATACTGGGTGTTGAGCCACAAATTGCTGTTCCTCAGCCCAGTCTAGATATTCTACGCCTTGACATACTGCAACCGGATGATCATGCTGACCACAGTGATGTAAACAAGTACATCTATAAAATTACATGGGGTGACAAGCTTCCCAGCAAATGTATGTGTATAAACATTTCTTTGCAGTTTTGAATATTTTTATGTAAGAGTATGTCCTGTGTATGTCCCATTGTCCAGTATGCATGTAATTCCATGCAACTATTGATTGTGTAGACAAAAGTGTAAAGTTGTAGGTCTGTGTGGTATGGTGTGTGTACTTCCAAAATCCATAGCCTTGCTGCTCAAGTTCAAAGTAGTGACTAATCTTGTTAGCCTGATATTGAGTGGGAGGTATGTAACTCTGAATATTGAGCAGTAAAAGTGCCCCTCTCCCCAAAACCTCATGCTTTTCCTACAACCAGGGTCCTGGGTTCAAATCTTGGCACATAGAACACTATATTGACAAGTTTCTTCTGGTTTTTCATACTCCCTCCAGGCACATTTTGGAATAAACCCTTAAATTGGGCCATTACTTGCTTCCACATTGTTTATAATTCATTATTCCCTATCCTCTTCTCATGTGATGTACAATCTTAGAGGTTGAAAGCATTGTTTCATAAACTAAGAATGAAGAATACTAAGAGCACAGACCTTCTTGAGAGGCTTAGTCACTTAGGAAGTAAAGATATTCTCCACTTTTATGGAACCCAAAAATTCAATGCTGTATGCACACAGGCCTGCCACTGATCCATATCTTGAGCCACACTAATTCAGTCCAAACCATTGCATCCATGCATAGGCCTTTCAAGTGCTCTCTTCCCTTTAAATTTTTAAATTAAATTTCTGTGTGCATTTTTTGCTTTTCTGATGCATTGCTCTTAGAATGATGTTAATATAATATCTCAACACCATGTATTCATGAGCATAACTAATTTGCTTCTGGTAATTAAGTACTTAACAATGTGTATTGTGACAAGAAGGTGCCACTGACTGGTAATGAAATTTCAGAACACAAGAAGTGTTTCCAGTAAGTGCTCATCGAACTAAAGAAAACAGCAAATATTATGGCAATACTGATTCCAAGCAGTGCATTAGCTGCACCAACAGGATACATTTGCCAGACTTCAATATTATTGATTTGTGTGTGTGTGTGCACATGAGTGCGTGCATGCACGAAAGGGTTCCAATATTATTGATTTGTGTGTGTGTGTGTGCGCATGAGTGCGTGCACGCACGAAAGGTTTTGTGTGTAAAAGTTAAGGTTGTGTTTTAATGTAATGCACCAATGAAGACTATCTGATATTGTTTGATAGTATATGAAGGTTTTTGATATGAACCAGAATCTAAATTTAATTAATTGTGCTTTAATTTTTCTGTTTAGGTCCAACTATACTACTAACAATGCAGAAGGCCATTGAGAATACAAAACTGAATGACAGTGCCATGCATTATCACTTCATAGCTTTGAAGGAAGAATGGCTCGGGTATGTTTGTAGTGTATATGTAGTCTGTTCCTTAATTTTTACATAAATTATCATTCATGGACATTTCCACTCTCTTCTGTCCTTCATGACCATTCTACAACCCGTTTGGTTTTCAAAACATAGGGTATAAGTTCAGACAACAATGGAAGGTGTGCTCTGACATTACGAGTACATATGACATTTTTTTAAGGTATGGATGGGAGGTCTGGTGGCAAAGGAGTTGACATTTAAAAGGTATAGCAGATTTGTGAAACTGTTACAAAATTCCATAAAATTAAATGTAGGTATGTTCTTTCTCCAGGCTGTTCCGTTCACCTGGTCACTCCACTCCATTTTTTGTCTATTATTATATATTTCCATGCCTGAAGCTACCCTTAACTTATTGCTCATTATAATATCCCAAGCACTGTACATCTTGCCAAACTCTTCCTTCTTGATTTAATCACCATCAAAATACAGGCCCAGTTAGTGGCTCCCGGATTTTACAAGGCTACATTCTATTAACTAACGGAGATATTGAACAATATTAAACATTGAAATTAAGCTTATGTCAGTGTTTTTGTTAATACATTTCCATATTGGCTCCCTAGTGACATGGCAATGTCCAGCTGATATTTGATGGATTTCATCTCCCCAGACTGTAGCAACAGCTGCATGATCTTGTGTTTGAGTTCCATCCTATCTTACTGCCTTGTAGACCTAAATACTACTCTCCACATAATGCCAAGGGAAGAAATCAAGAGGCATCCTATCAGATGCCCTCAGAGGGCAAGGGACTGCGTCTCTTGTCTAGTCCAACAACCAACAAACCTCACTCTAAGTACACTGTGAACAGTGTTATTGTAAAGAGGCAGAGCACTATCATGTTGTAAAACTGGAACTCCCTCCTCAACTGTAGGACAATGTATTTTTAAAGTATAATCAAGGTACGTGGTATCATTAACGCTGGCTTCAGTGAAAGAGTATATGTGACAGGAGAACTGCACAATAAAGGAAGATGTACAAGAACATGGTGCCAACATTCTGAAATAAACTCCTTGAGTTGTGCATAATTTCTGTGTTTAATGTTGTTTACTATCTTTATTGGTAATGAAATGTAGCGTTGTAAGATTCCTTAGTCTTCGTTTTCACACCATGTAGAATGAAAGCATACTGATATGAATATATTTTGGTTTTCACAAAGCATAGCAAAGATGGTATGGCGAGTGCAGCAATGGAATGCAGGACAACTACAGGATTTGACTGCTTTGTTGCAAGCCATGGGAGCTCAAGAACATGATAAAAGTTTGCTGGAATTCTGGGGAACTAGTGCTATATAAAGCATTTCATATAGTAACACTAAAAATGTGCGTGTGTGGCAGGTAACTAGTCAGTGACAGGATGTGGCATTTTGGTACTGTATAGTCTGGTATGAATAATTGAAACAAGGCCAAAGTGGAATGAGCATGTATAAACCTGTATAGTTCTGTGATAAAGTGGATTGACAATAAAATACAGAAAAAGTGGCAATGTCATATGATTTTTTTGTACAAAGTACCAGTAATTTTTATTGCTACGTTCCAAGAGTTGTAGTAACTGTTGGGATTGGTAGTATGGGGACTAGCATATGTACCCAGGTTGTTGGACTTTAACAGGACAGCTCAGCTCCCACTACACATGCTGATGACAGTGTATGCCATCATAGCACCAGTGGCTTTGCTTGAATGAACTGGTTGGCACAGTAATTTAGTTTTTTTCTTAGTGGCACTGAGATTAAGGTTCTCTTAGTTAATCCTTCAATGATACCTAATGTGTATGGTATGTCTGGTGCAGCTGTATGCTCAAGCTCATATTTTGTATTATTTTTGGAATTGTGGGTTTTCATTTTGTATGTGTTGTTACACTTTCATTTTCTTAAAGTATTATCACTTTGTTGTCTGCTTCATCAGTTGGTGTTACAATACAGTTGTGTCTCAGCCATGGGGAATTCTTGTGAACTAAATATATATTTAAATCAAAACTAGATTGACTGTTTTTTCCCCCTGAAAACTAACTTTTTTGAGGATTTGCAAGCATTGTTTTATGGTCCAGGCCTAACTGGCCTTACTTCATTAAACCACAAGAAAAGGCTTAAACCTGATTGTGACTTCCAAGGAGTATGATGACTTTCAGCCAATTATCATTCTCCTTGCAGTGGCATATAATGGACTACTGGAGCTAGTAGAATCAACAATTACAAGCAATAAAAAAACTTACTGTTAGGGCACTCAATCCACAGTCTGGCATTCTACCCTTTGGGCTAATTGCTTTATAATGCTGAGCTGTATTCTTAGCACTTAAACATATAATATTAACGTATGACTGGAAGTGTCTACATTACAAAAGCACACTTTGAGTTAACTATAACTCCTTTATTGTTTCATACTGATACAAATATCAAGAGAAATTCAGGTTTAATTTTGAAAAGAGTTACATTACTTCTTATAACCACAACTGCGCCTACGTCCTCGAGCTCGCTCAAACTTACGGCCCTTGGATCGAACATAAGGTTTTGTGTGGCTATGTGGCACACCAGGAGCAAGTCCAAAGTGTTTTACGGCTTCTCGAGCATTACGACGTCCTGTAAACAAAAGAAAATGCATGGTATTCTTTGTATATGAAGTGAATATTCTCGTATGGCCTTCCTAACCCATAATCAACTTTTTAAAATTAATTACTCCAGTTACAAATTTCTATTTTGTTTTTTTGTTTTGGTGGGGGCAGGGTATGTTCAAACACCAAACTACGTTTATTCTGTAATTATTTTTCATACCTTGAATGAGTACAGTCTTTTTTCCTGTTGGTGCCCTGAGTGCAAGCTGATCAAAGGTGATGATCTCACCACCTGCCTTCAGGATGCGTGCTCGAGCCCTTTCAGTAACACGGAGAGCACACACCTATGGAAAAAAATAAAAAGTTTGACACTTGATAAAACAAGCAATATACTCTGAAAGCTATGAATGCCTTTTTAATTTAATGGTACACATTTTGTGCTTTGAAACATAAAACTAATGACTGCTATAAAATTAATTGTATACTGATTAGGAAACAATCACAACTTGTAAGTTAATCTCTTATAATTTTCTGAAATGCACAACATGAAAGAGCATTGTAAACACAAACACTGAATGAAAATCACATACTCAGATATCTCTCACCAGACTTCAACCATTCTCTACACAAAACATCCACTTTACAAAAAAAAAATTGAGGATAACTAGCATGTAGCAAGGTGTGATTACTCACAGTTAACTTTGGGACTTCAAAGATTCTCTGATCATCAGTGATGGTGCCAACAATAACTGCTATAAGATTAGCACGCTCGGGATCTTTCATTAGGTGTACAACTCTGGCAAGTGATATTGGAGGCCTGTTGATCTTGGACATAAACAGTCTCTTCAATATTATCTTGTTGAACTTGGATTTAGTCCTTCTGGTCAAGAAGCGATATAGCTGGAAGCATAAATCAAAACTATATTTATGAATATTTTTGTTATTTCTATTTTTTAATCAAATTCCACTCATTCATTAGAGTAACACAATGAAATCCATTAACATACATGAGCCCTATAATAGATACGTACTTACAGATACTCAGCAAAATACACAAAAAAACTGGCAGTTAAGAGTTAGAGGTACAATATTTTACTTCATTCATTTGAGCAATTTTTCTTTACCTTCACGAGTAATCTCAGGTACACATCCTGTGACTTTGGTTCGGTACGCCTGACCTTACGGTCCCACTTATGGTTGATATCAATACCCTAAAAGAAAAATCATAACACTTTCTTCATGACAGCTTTATAAACAGTAACCCTTTAAAGATTGTGAAATTGATCGAAACAGATACATTTATAAAACACAAATATCCACATTGACATACCATTATCTAATCCCGGAAGAGGTCTTACTCGAATTGCACCTCGGGAGGAAGCAACTGTTCTCAGTAGATCACCTACCAACTGTGACCAACCCCAGCTACTTCTATTAGATATGATCCCCAGAATGTCCTACGCGATGTTTAGTGAATAACACGTGTGAATTATCATTGTACATGGAGTGATATTGCTAATTTATATATTTATTAATGTCAACGTTACAGACTCTTTGCTAATGATAAACATTTTCATGCTAGAATTGAATTGCTATGAATTCTGCTAGGTTACCTCACTGTAATAGTTTTTTGCTTTCCCAATAGATGGTTGTATAAACGGAGTACTGTGGACACAGCGAAATCTATAGCAGAATTTATGAACACACACACACACAGTTAAAGACCTATTCACAGTACGAAACCAATTAAAGTACGATAGTTTCTGCCACCAAGTTCTACTACGCTGTGGTTTTTGCTCTTGCTGTAGTTTGCTTTGATGTCACGAAGATGGATGGTGGTGGTGTGCATGGTACTCCAGTACTAGAAGAAACATTTTACATTCTGTCGAAGAAAAACACTGTATATCGAGTGAAATTAACAGAGAAAGGGCTCAGTTTACAAAAGGAAAGCAATGGTAATACAAAAATAGAAGTTATTAGAATTGATGACATTGTTGGTTGTAGGTGCATGAGAAGCAAACGGAGGTCAGGTGGATCGTGTGCATGCCATCCGAATGCTATTAGACGAAATAATGTAAGAGTTGTGGAAGAAAATTCAAGCGAACAAGATGAGAAGGACGTTAGTGCTTATCTGTATATATATGCGTATGTTCTTAAAAAGTATAGAGTCAAATCGGGCCAGAAACGAGAGCGGATGACAATCACATTGAGGTTCCGTTCCTTTGACAAATATGAAGACAATATGAGGGAAGCTCAGAAGTGGAGGTTGGCTGTCAAGTGTCTTGTCAAGAATAAGTCGATTCCACGAGGTATACTGGCCAGCGAAGACTCGCAAGTCACGGCTCAGTCATGTAAGTATATGAGGTCATTTAATATTTAACGGTTAACTCATTTAAGATGCTATTCCTCCATTGTACAACACTATAGAAGTCGGGACAGACACACCTATTTTGTTATTTTATTGTGCGCATATAGCTCATTATTGTTATCCATTTCCTGAAAACGGATATCCTGGTCTGGGCATGACTCCTTTTGTGTCATATCGTACTATTATTACACTGAAATTTAACTAATTGTTTTGGGTATGTTGTAATGTTGATAGTATTTGTATATCATACAAATGTTTCACAACTTTCTTGTATTCCAAAATTTAAGAAACTACTCAGTTCATACAGGCTGTGGAGTTCAGTTATAATAGAGTTTGGGTGAACATCAGTTTCCTTTTCCTGCATTCGCTTTGTGCCAGTGAATTTTCATGGTACAGTACTTTTATTATTTGTATTAAAATGAGACACCTCACATGATATGATCTCTCTCCCAGCTATATGTTTTGCCAGGAGGCATGAGTTAGTGTGAGGGCTATTCTAATGTGCAGTGAAGGATTACATAATTATTCTTCCAATCTTAGGATGGAGACGTAAATATGTGGGTCCAAATTATGAACAACATGTACATCATAAAGATTTATCAGTGTCTTTTTGCAGTCAGAACATTTTTGTTTTGAAGCTGTGTTGTTTGTAAGTGACATAAATATTAAATTACCCTTGTACTTAATATTCAGAGAAGTTGATCAAGAGGCATTACAGTTTTTTCAGGTATTATTCTGTATATTTAGAGTTAATGCTTGCTAAGTTGAAGGTAGTCCACATATGTATTTAAATAATTACAATATCACATTTGACAAATTGCAAGATATTGGGTTATGTATAGGCTGTAACACCACTTTGTGTTTTAGTCTACATCAGTTTTGATGTAACTCACTGTTTATGCCATAGGACTTGGTATAGGTATAACAAATGTAGTGAGAGTTTACAGTGTTGAGAGCAGGTTAGGTTAGGTTTATTGGTAGGTTTGTGAATTGTTATTTGTAATAGCATGGATTTTGAAGTTAATGTATAAAATAAGGAGAGGAAGACAAGGTTACTGAGGTGCTGAACTTTGAATTAATATAAAGTGTAAACATGGCCAGCAGGAGCAGTAAAAATTATATCAGTATTCTGTGTTTGTCAGTGTTGCTTTTACATTAAAGAGACATGCATATTTGGCCACCGAATTTTTACAACGGGTGACTTGTTATTTTTCATGTTATTTAACATGTTAACATAATATCATCAGCCTTTTTCCAGTTATCATTGTATAGTGGTTGGCACTCTTACTTTGTGTTTATCCTGCCTAATTTTTGCAGGGTACATTACAAAAGTATATCTTAAATATTTTAAACAACACAATTCAAAAGAGTGGAA